ACACACAATATATATATATATATATATACACACACATAAATACACACCTTATATATGCTTCAAGGCTCACAAACTCACTTTTATTCATCTAAATAAAATAAACATTAATAGTTATTTGTCAGTTTTCCTTTTTCTGCGATTCCTGATCAATCCTATTGTAATTTTTAGTTTTTAATTTAGCTTTTTAGTTATGTAATTTTAGTTTTAAAAGTTTTCCAAATACTGCAGAAATGATTCAAAAAATGAAAGATTATATTTATGTATTTTAGTGTTTTCTTTAAATATTTGAAATAGTGTAGAGTATGAAAAGCAAAAAAAGAGTTGCTATAAAACTTCTAAGTTGTATTGCTGTTTAGCCTTCTGAGAGAACTGGCTTTAATAATTTATTTATTTCTAGGAAAGCTTTGTAATTCTCATTTCTGAAACAGGACTGAAATATTAGAAAAGGTTAGGAGGTAACTTTGCACCAGGATAGACTTTTTCCCCCAGGAAATACAATTTTTATTTCATCATTTTAGACCTGCAACAAGGAATCCAGTACTTAAATCTTTTTGTCCTGGCTGCATATACAGAGATTAGATAAAGTTTCCTGAGTTAGATCAGTTATAAAAATACTGTAGAGCAAGTTCTTCAGATTTAGTTTAGACTTTTACATTAAGAACCATATTACTTTATTGTTTGTTACACATACAGGAGAGGTCTGTGTTGCAGTTTATCTTTTTGTAAAAAAACACATACCTTTAAAGCAAGGAACCTTTATAGTTCCTAGCAACAGCCAGAACCTCAGGCTTGGATCTGCTAGGACTGTATTTGGACTACTTCCTAAACTGGAAATGGCATTAGGAGCACCTCTAAGAGGAGCATTTACAAGGATATTTGTGCATATCAGTTCAGCAAACTTATACTTAATATCTATAAGCCAGACATCATACTAAGCAGGGGATTTAAAGGGAAATAAAACATCTTTTGCTTTCAAGGAACTCATAGACCTGAAATGTGATTTTTCAAATGTCACATTTATAATAAGATTTACTTGGAAGAGCATTTACTAAGCTATTGGAAAGTAAAATCATTAACTAATTTAAATTTAAATACAATCATGGTAGCATTTTAGAAGAAGTTCTCTGTTTTGTCCATCTATTTTCAACTGCATTCTCTATTTGTTTGTATATGTGTATGTATGTATATATATATATTGCTCTAGCTGATGGCCTGGTAGTGAGTATTTCTGTCTAGCCCAGTTTTCATCCATTCTTCCTTTTTAAGAGTACCTTGAGCACATCCAGTCTTTCTTTTGTTTTTCTTGCTTATTCAAATCAATAAAGACACCCGACTTTCTGATCCTTGCACATTAACTTCAAGTAGTACATGCTGTCAGACTCTGTTCTGGGAGTTGGGTTTTTATTTGGAACTTTATATACTGTATAATATCCCCTTTGTTATACTGTATAACATCCCCTTTGTTGGAGGTGCATTGAAGCACCTTTGTTATTGTCTTAGCCTACAGTGCAAATGGAGCTGTGGGAAAGCTGGTATCATTATAGGCTCAGGAACTGCTGACCACAAGAAGATAGCTCTGCCTAGATGCAGATGGAATCATCCCCAGGGTGCACATTGAAAAGTGAGGAGGGGCAGGCTGTGTACACATTCCTAGGTGTAGCATGTTTGTTATCAGGAGCAAGTTGCCATATCACGAATGCAAACTTGCCCACAAGGTTTGTGGAAGACTTTCAGGGGCATTATGATTAATGGCATGGGTAGATACAGACATTGTGATTTCATTTAGATTTATCCAGGATACACAATTGATCATAATTTGCAAGTAGGTTGGAAATCACTGTTTAGATCTTTGTAGGAGTATATAGTTTTAAACCTGTTAAATTGTTCGAACTTCCTTCTCCAGGGTTTCAAAGGACTGTGGCTATTGCAGACTCAAACTACAACTGGTTTTATGGTCCAGAAAGCCAGTTAGTGTTCCTGGATAAATTTGTCATGCGGAACGGCAGTGGAAACTGGCTGGCTGACCAGATCAGAAGGAACCGTGTGGTGGAAGGTCCAGGAACTGCATCCAAAGGGCAGCGCTGGTGCACTCTGCACACGGAGTTTCTCTGGTATGACGTAGTGGGCTGCCTTTACAGAGAAACTGTACCTGGAATACTATTCTGCTGCGCACTAACTTTTTTGTATTTAAAAAGAAAAAATAATCTAAAACCTTTTAAAATCCCTTCCCATATCACCTATGTGTGTACAGCTTCAATACAACTTATAATAATGTTTGAACCTCTGCTCAAAACATTTCTTTATGTTTAAGATCTAATTGCTGTGCATAATTCTTGGTTCTTTTGAACTAGAGATGTCCTCAGCTTGTACTTTTTCGTAGGTTAGCATGATTTGATTGTACATCATTTTTTAAAATAATATAAGAAAAAAACCCACAAAACTTAGACCAAACTGTTTTGATTAGCATATCAAAAAGAAAAAAATAGTGAAATACTTATTTTGTTTTGGTAAGTGGAGCATTATAATTAATAGCAAAGCTGTTCCTAAACTTTGAAGAGTGTTAAAAGTTTTTGACAACTTCACTTTGATAACAAAAGGACCATGTAATTTTTTTGCTGTAATCTTTTAAGCCCAGAAGGAGAAGCTTGAATCTCCTTTGAAAGTATTGCCAAATATATTGTTGGCATCCAATAAGTTGAAAATCAAAATTATAGGGAACCAGTTAATTATTAATCCTTGGCGTCTTTTTGAGATACTGAAATTTATAGCCAACTCCAAAATGAGTGTTCTGTATTTTTTTTTATTTTTTTCAAAGTTTAAACAGTTAGAAAAATATTAGTAAAGTAGTAACTGTCTGTGGTTTAGCATTTTAAAAACTATTTTCACAAAAGAATTACGTATATTAACCTACTTTCAGGGATATGGAGGAACTACATAATGGTGTTTATACTTACTCATAAGTAAACAACCAGACTATAATGCTGACTGTAGGAGTCAGGTTTATGCTAAGTCTAAGTGTAGTTAAAAATCAAGTGTACAAAACCAACTAAAGTGAAGTGAAAGATGACTAGTTCAGTTTGGGTCTGTTTTTGTTAAATCACATTAGTGATACCAATATTATATAAGACCTCAGTAGAAATATGATTTCTGATGTCATGAACCTGAGACTCTACAACAATGGATGAAATGGCTAAGATCAAACCCCAGTAAGAATAACTATACCACAGGGGATTGACTCAGTAGGCAAAAACCTCTCTGCCCTTGAGCAGCAGAGCATATGATAGTTCAAGGCAGTTACTCCAAATTAAAAATAAACGGTCACTTCCATTTTTATTTTTTGGAGATTTTCTGACTTTAAAAACGTGCTTTTAGTGTAAATTTTTAACCATAAATTATTGTATTATTTTATCATTAAACATTTACCATACATAAAATATTACCTAAAAAACATGGCATAATCTGCAAAATAAAGCAAAATCTTTGGATCTGGCCTAGGTAGTGGTAACTACAACTGTAAACCCTCCAGATTAGATAGTTTTCTGGAATTTCATCTGTTTATATTCTTTGGTGAGCAGTTGGCAATTAATTATATCTAATGTATGAAGTTTTATTCTGTTTTAATTGATAACTTTTTACAGGAAGAACTGATTTTAAATCAAACATTCAATAATATCAGTTGGGATGGAACAATTCTTCATTACAACTCAAGGCTTGTTAGAGTCCAGATCCTAGCATGAGGTTTCCTAGAATGGGAGCCTTTCAACTAGAAATGGAGATGAAATGGTTAAGTCTATGAGCCCCAGTAATTTGAGTGGCAGCTCTGAAATTGTCAAGTAAAGAAGGTCCAGGCAGAGTTTAGCAGCAAAAGTCAGCTCAGTGTCAAACCCAAGGATCGCAGTTGCAAACCTCCACTCCTTTCTGGTCACCACTGGTTTTCCCTGTGCCTGCCAAATACTCGTGTGTTTTCAGAAATACCAGCAATACTGTCTACCTGACCATGATTCTGGGTAGCATTTGTGTGTTGTTTCTTCCAGCTTTATCATGTAGCATGACAGTTCTGGCAAGTTATTTCCACTTCCATCAGAAAACCATTTAATTTTTAAAAATTAACCCCTATAGGTATGATGCCAGCCTGAAATCAGTTCCTCCTCCAGATTTTGGCACCCCTACATTGCATTATTTCGAAGACTGGGGTGTTGTGACCTATGGAAGTGCACTACCTGCAGAAATCAATCGATCTTTCCTTTCCTTCAAGTCAGGGAAACTTGGGGGACGTGCAATACATGACATTGTCCACAAAAACAAATACAAAGATTGGATCAAAGGATGGAGGAATTTTAATGCAGGGCATGAACATCCTGACCAGAACTCTTTTACTTTTGCTCCCAATGGTGTGCCTTTCATTACTGAGGCTCTTTATGGGCCAAAGTACACCTTTTTCAACAATGTTTTGATGTTTTCTCCAGCGGTGTCAAAAAGCTGCTTTTCTCCCTGGGAAGGTCAGGTCACAGAAGACTGCTCATCCAAATGGTCGAAATACAAGCATGACCTGGCAGCGAACTGCCAGGGGAGAGTGGTTGCAGCAGCGGAGAAAGATGGGGTGGTCTTCATCAGAGGAGAAGCTGTGCGAGCTTATAACCCCCAGCTGAAGCTGAAGAACATTCAGAGGAATTTGATCCTCCTCCACCCACAGCTTCTCCTCCTTGTAGACCAGGTACACCTGGGAGAGGAGAGCCCCCTTGAGACAGCAGCGAGTTTCTTCCATAATGTGGATGTTCCCTTCGAGGAGACAGTAGTAGATGGGGTCCATGGGGCTTTCATCAGGCAGCGAGATGGTCTGTATAAAATGTACTGGATGGACGATACTGGCTACAGTGAAAAAGCAACCTTTGCCTCAATGACATACCCTCGAGGTTATCCCTACAATGGGACAAACTATGTGAATGTCACCATGCACCTCCGCCGGCCCATCACCAGGGCAGCTTACCTCTTCATAGGGCCATCTGTGGATGTGCAGAGCTTTAGCATCCATGGAGACTGGCAACGACTGGATGTGTTTATAGCCACCAGTGAGCATGCCTATGCGACTTACCTGTGGACAGGTGAAACCATGGGACAGTCGGCCTTTGCACAGGTCATTGCAGATCGCCAGAAAATTCTGTTTGACCAGAGTTCCGCCATCAAGAGCACCTCTGTCCCTGAGGTGAAGGACTATGCTGCTGTCGTGGAACAAAACCTGCAGCATTTTAAGCCAGTGTTCCAGCTGCTGGAAAAACAGATCCTATCCCGAGTCCGGAACACGGCGAGCTTTAGGGAGACTGCTGAGCGCCTGCTAAGATTTTCAGATAAGAGACAGACTGAGGAGGCCATTGACAGGATTTTTGCCATATCTCAGCAACAACAGCAACAGCAGAGCAAGTCAAAGAAAAGCCGAAGGGGAGGCAAACACTATAAATTTGTGGATGCTGTCCCTGATATTTTTGCACAGATTGAAGTCAATGAGAAAAAGATTCGACAAAAAGCTCAGATTTTGGCACAGAAAGAACTACCCATAGATGAAGATGAGGAAATGAAAGACCTTTTAGATTTTGCAGATGTAACATATGAAAAGCATAAAAATGGAGGCTTGATGAAAGGTCGGTTCGGACAGGCACGGATGGTGACAACTACTCACAGCAGAGCCTCGTCACTGTCTGCTTCATATACCCGACTGTTCTTAATTCTGAACATTGCGATTTTCTTTGTCATGTTGGCAATGCAACTGACTTATTTCCAGAGAACCCAGAGCCTACATGGCCAAAGATGTCTTTATGCAGTCCTTCTGATAGACAGCTGCATCTTACTGTGGCTGTACTCCTCCTGTTCCCAGTCACAGTGTTAGCACTGAAGCTATGAATTGCTTGATCATTTAATGATCACAAGAGTCTATGCAAATAAAAAATTGTTGCTCCAGTTCCTAAATTTTTTTTCTCAGATTCAGTTTAACAAACTAAGGGATGACATTTTTGCATAAGAAAGAAAGGGCATGGAGAAATTAGAATTGGAGCAAGCAAAGAATGTATCAAAGGAATGAGAGTAACTTGATTGTTCCCTGGTGTTTCTTGAAGTGTCTGGCTTTTCCAGTTTACCAGTCTTCATACTACTACTTTTAGAAGGAACAAGATGTCTGTTTTTTTTAAATAATATTTTTTCTTAAAGGAAACAAAAAAACATTTTGATAAAACTGGGTTTTATTATCATTAATTTAATGCTATTAGTAATTTCCAGATACTATATTTTGAAAAAGACTGAAGCACACAGTTGTATGAAATATAAACTTTTAAAGAATGAATGACAAGATTTGCTAGTATAAGACTTGGATGATTATTCATATAATGTAATAAAGATGATGGTAGAAGATCATTAAAAAATTCTCTATTTTCAGTAGCAAATGAATATACAAATGAGTATTTACTTGATGATGTTTGCCACTGCAAGCATATAATTGGTTGGTTTAATGTATTCATTGTTTTTTCAATAAGCAAGACAATTATAAATGGAAACTGTTATAGATTCAGTGACTAAACTTTTCAAAATGAAGTATTTTATATCCTGAATTTTAATACCAAAGAATATGGGAGATCTAATCTGGATATGATTCTTATGCTTTTTAAATAAAAAAAAAAAACTTTCTTCAGGTTTATTTTGTTAAATAGAGCATAATTTTTTTATCTTAAAAATACAAGGAGGAAAACATTAACAGACAGACAACCTTTTACAAAATAGCTAAAGAACAGTACAGACAAAACAGTTACAAACAAAGTGGTAGGAAATTAACAATGCTTGTTGTATTACATATTGATATCTTCAAAGTGGTTTC